ACCAAGGAACACCTGGGTGCATGTGCATATTTACATCAAATGCTCGGCAAGATTCTGAACAACTGAGGGGCCTGGCCATTTTCCTATATTTTCCCTACACCACACCACTGGCTTTATTTTATAGTATTGAGTGCTTGTTGCTACGTAGTTAATAGGAAAGCTGGCTTCCATCCTGTTCATTCAACACCATGATCACAGCCAAGGAAGTTTCACCCAAGTGCTAGTTGTGTAGCTACAGAGACTCTTCAATTTACTAAGCTGAGTGTTTTCCAATCAAGCCCAGAGAAGAGAGGAGGAAACAGTATTTGGAGAAGTTCAACCCTGACCCCTTGTAGTTAGCCTGGAGACAGGGTTGCAGTTTGGATTCCAGCTACAGGGATAACCACTAATGCTTGATTTAGAAAATGAATATGCTAATAATAAATAAATAAATAAATAAATAAATAAATAAATAAATAAAGGACAATGTCACTGACAGCTTCCCACAGTTTTAACCACTAATGCTTGATTTAGAAAATGAATATGCTAATAATAAATAAATAAATAAATAAATAAAGGACAATGTCACTGACAGCTTCCCACAGTTTTAATTTCTACTCCATCATATAACACCTGTCTCAGGCTTGAGAAAAAGGGAAATGAGGATGACCCTTATCCCCCAAGCCTTGCCTTCCCGCTGAGGGTAAGACAGCTGGAGTTGACTCTGAACAAGGAACGCTCTGAATAGCTCATTCAAAGTTCCACAGAATTAAATATCGGAGGGGATCAGTACCCAGAATTTGGCCAATGAAAAGTAGATGGGGGTTTCTTAACCTCAGCATCACTGACATTCTAAACAAGATAATTCTTTGTTGTAGGGGTTTGTCCTATGTGTTATAGGGTGTTTAGCAGTATCCACTGCTTCTACTGAGATGACAGTAGTACTCCCCTCCCCTCCCGAGTTGTGATCATCAAAATGTCTCCAGACATGGCCACATCTTCCTTGGGAAGGTAAAAGGGCAAAATCACCCTCAGTTGAGAACCTCTGCACTAGACTGAAAAGAAGGAAGGAAAAGGTAAATCATTTTGGCAATTGGATGATTTGGCTCTTTTGTGTGGAAGCATTGCATACCCTTCTAATAAACTACTAAGCTCTGGAATACAATAGGTGATGTATGTCCTAGGGGCTCAGTTAAGTACCTCAGTTAAGTAAATAGCAGAATCCTTGAGAGATCCTAAGCTGACATAGCTAAAACTGAATGTGTCTATGCACTATTATCCAAGGACATCTCTGCTAAATATAGCAAATATTTCCCCTGGACTTCCATCAACTATCAGATGGGCTTCATGGGTGACCTTTGACTTTCAGGGCAATACTTCCCTCCAGCTCATAGGATCTTACTATATCACAGGTCCATTGGAGTTGCAATTAGGAAATTATATTTTTCAGTGCATCAACAAAGGTTGTTGGCCTCCAATATACAAATCCCTATGCTAATACTAAACAGAAGGCACTGGGTACAAAGGTAAAATCAAGTATTATCGAAGGAGCCTACTCTAAAGAATTGCCACCAGCTTCACATTCAACCACAATACCATTTTGAAAAGCATACTCTATACCAATTAAGTGGACATAGATTAATTCAGTTCTAATAAATTGATTTTTAGGAGTTCTCTAGTCTAGAATAAAATAAATTAGCTATGCAGGGATAGAAAGTTTATTCATCCTTACAGATGGATTGCCTTGCAGAGATCTACCTGGAAGGATCTGTATCCAGTCAAGAGAAGATTTTCCAAGGCAGGGTTTCTCAAAGCATAATCTGCAGAGCCTAACATCACTATCATTTAGGAAGCTTGTCATAATGCAGATTTTTAGACCCTATGCTAAGAATTCTTATTCTGTAAATCTAGATTCCAACAATCAGCATTTTTAATAGCCTTCCTGGTTCCTCCTACATACTTAAGCTTCAGAACCTTAAGCCTTAGACTCCAATCAACATCTACTTTTCAAAGTTCTGTCTTCAAAGAACTTATAGTTTTGGGAGAAAACTAGCACACAGTATGAGTTACTTGTGATTACTAATAATTCATTGACTCACCAAATAGTCATTGAACTGCCTGTTAATGTGCCAGGCACTGTTCCAGGTACTAGGGATACAGCAATGATGAGGACAGTCATCTACTGTATGCTGGTCACTACACCTTGTTTTTACTTTTATTCTCATAACATCCCTATGAAAGGAGAAAGAAGCTCAAGGATGTGGCTGAGATGCACAGAGTCTCAAGGCCAATAAATGACAGAGCTGCTATTTAGATCAACATCTGTCTAATGCTGTACTCTGTGTTCTTTCCACAACAGTAACAACATGAGCATAAAAAATAAAAGAAAAAAATGTTCAAAGCAGTATGAGTTTAGTGCCACATGAGTACTACGGTTCTTGAATACTGAGGAAGTTCAGCCCTGAATAAAATCATTTCCAGGTAGATCTCTGCAAGGCAATTCATCTGTGGTGGAGAAGGAGGCTTTTTGGAGGAAGTGATAAACTGCATCATCAAGGACACAGGAATTCAGAAAGGGAAGAAGTATTTGGGGAGGGGAGATTATACAAGCATGGCGTACATCAAGTCATGAGGTAGGAATGTGCAAGATTTATTTTGGGAGCAGTGAAGAGGTCCTTCTAGCTAGAACAGAGCCAAGGTGTTAGAGAGGTGTGGGAGAAAAAGCTCCACAGTAGGTTGGAACTGAATTTTGGAGTGCCCTATGATATGCTTGGGAGTATGAACTTGACCCAATAAGACAATGGGAAATTGTTGAAAGATGATATGATGAGAGAGAGATTTGGAGAACAAAATGGATCAGGAAGTAGCCTGCAAGATGGATCACTGGGAGAGAGAGATCAGGAACAAGAAAATTAGGTGGAAAATATTTATATGGGAGAACTACTACAAGAGGCAATTCATGAGTTAATGAGAATTAATATCTAACATTTAAGAAGATTTTACTGTGCTCTAGGCCCTATTTTTTAGTAATTTCATGGATTAATTAATTTGGTCCTCAAAAATTTCCTCTAAGATATTAGAACTGTTCACAATTTCTTAGTCAGCCTAGTCACATGGTATGACTGCACTTTCCTGTCCCCTCTGAGGTTTGGCCTGGCCATGCAGGTTGCTAGGTCCAATGAGAGAAATTAGTGTCTGTTACATCTGGGATGAAGCTTTAGATCAGGGTGTGGTTTGTCACACATGTTTTCCTGCCACTCATGGAAGCATTTAACAGGATGGTGCCTCTCTCAGCTTGGATCCGAGTGACCACAAGGAGCAATGCCGTCCTGCCATCCTGTGCTGGAATTTTGGCTTGAGTGAGAAATAAACTCATGTTGTATTATCCCACTGCATTTTGGGATGCATTTGTTACTGTAGTATAACCTGGCCTATGTTGACTGATATACTTACTAATTAAGAATATGACCTGTATGGTCAGACCACCTGAGTGCAATGTCTCCACTCCACCATTTATCAAATTTGGTAAATCATAACCTCTCTAAACTTTATTTACCTTATCTTCAAAATGGAATACAGTGGCTACCTCACAGGGTCATTGTAAATATTAATAGTGACAACAACAACTTCACATGCCATGTTACAGGCAGTATTCTCAACTTTTTAATGTGTGTTATCTGGCTTAATGCTCACAATAATCATTTTGCAAATGAGAAAACTAAGGCACAGATAGGACAATAGCACTTGCTAAAGATCACACAGCTAGTAAGTAGTGGGGCCAGTATTCAAATCTAAGGCAGTTTAATTCCAGAATCCTTACACTTATCCATTGACAACATGTGGAAGCACTTGACTGCCATCATTTTCTCCATTAGGCATGATAAAGACAGTGTCTAGGTCCTACGATCTTTTGAAGGGTGGACCTAGAAAGTATTTCTGACCAGAAAAATAAACATGTTGGGGGCCTAATATTAAAAGCAAACTACAAAATCAAATTAATAAATATTTAAAAGTCTATAAAACAAGACATTATGTTACTGAATTAGGCTCTTGGGTCACAATGTCATCGAAATGAACAAAGTACCCAGCAGAATTTGAGGCAAGCAATGCTTTATTAAAAAGAGATAGACTTACACATAAGGGAGACAACACTGAGGGTTGCGATCCGTTGCCGGACACAGAAAAAGACAAAAGACAAAAAAAAATAAAATAAAATAAAAAATAAAAATAAATAAATAAATAAATAAATAAACATGTTGGGTCTGAAATATTAAAAGCAAACTACAAAATCAAATTAATAAATATTTAAAAGTCTATAAAACAAGACATTATGTTACTGAATTAGGCTCTTGGGTCACAATGTCATCGAAATGAACAAAGTACCCAGCAGAATTTGAGGCAAGCAATGCTTTATTAAAAAGAGATAGACTTACACATAAGGGAGACAACAATAGAAAGCTGTCTACCCAAGAGAAGTTGGGGAAGGGTTTTTAAAGGCAAGCAGTCCCTCAATCGATGCCAGCATCTTGTCTTGATGATTTCTGATATTTTCATATGGTTGCGGGATGGGGGTTGGGGGTGGGATGTCAGTTCCAGGAGCATCCTGCATGCAACTCCCAAAGGGTTCTCAAGGTTAACCTGTAATTTAGTTTTTACAATCACAGGGAAAGAAAGAAATAAAGAACAAGTCTTGAGGAAGGGGTTTTGCAACTCAGTGAATATGTGTTTCCTTCTTCTCTCAGTTTATATTATCAGGGCAGGCCATGGGGTAATCATGTGCCCTGGGGGTGTCTCATGACTGAGGAGTGGAAAAGTAACAAAGAGTTCTCCGCAGGGAAAATGGAGTCAGTTTGGTTCACAGGTCTAGCCCTATTCTGTCTCAGTTATTCTAACCAATTCACAGCAATACCACTCAACTCACACACACATAAATTAAATGTAATGCGAGATGTGGGTGTGCTGTAATATCTTTGGTGTAATGGCAGAGATGGGACTTGTAAGAGTGCCAACAGCCTAAAATATGCCTTACAATGACCCCATGAAGAGAGTTCAATAAATGTAAGCGATCATATTATTTTCATTATTGTCCTTAACTTCAACCAATAGAGCCACATGTGAAGCTGTTTTAAATTCTTCAGCGAAGTGACTGTTAGTCCACTGAGCCATTCCCAAATGGCTCTTGGCAGCTCAGCGCTGAAGCTGGTCCTGTCCAGACTCAGGGGAGAGCAGCAAGACTGAGCTGCTTCTCTTTGTTCATGGAGATCTAGTTCCCCTCACCTGCTAAGTCAGAAGTGGAAGTTGTAGCTCTGTCAAAGGGTTACCAGACTGCCAGGTGGCTGGAAATGGAGATAAATGAAATGCACCTTTGGCACTACTGCAGAAAGTCAAAAGCCTTTGGAATCTACAGCTGCTTGACATCACCTCTGCCACTCAGTTTCTGCTCTTCTGGTCCCTGATGCTTTCTTCAGTTTATGGCAAGAGTAAATCACCCTGCATAAACTCTTCTTCCTGAAGGCTGACTTTGACTCTTAAACCTGACCTACTGTCCAGGATATGCTGCTTAGCCTGGAGCATTGCCGTAACTCAGTAGATGGTATCTGGAAACACTTTTCCTCCTAGAGGTCAAGCTAACAGCTTCTGATCTCAGGCTCTCACTTTCATTCCTTCTTTGGATTCCACCTATTTCATCATCATGACTTGCAGAGTTTTTCCAGTTGATTTTGATTTAATACTAATAGGTTCTGGGATCAGACAGACCTAAATTCAAATCTTTGCTACACCACTTCTTGAGGGGTGACCTCAGTAATTTACTAAACTTCTGCTTTTATCTTCTATAAATTGGAGTCTAAACAGTACCTTCCTCTTAGAGATGCTTTGAGAATTAAATGAAATAAGCCAGTGAACGTGAGTAGGAAATGGAATTTCAATAGATGTTAGCTATTAATATTATTATTACTAATGCTAATTCTTAAATTTGAGTTTCAAAGCCCCCCTATGAAGAATGCAAGTCAGGAATCCAGTTTCTTCTTTCATGGAGGAGGAAGCAGAGAGTAGAATGACTTGAGAGGCTTGCCCAAAATCGGTTTGTAAGGAGCAGGATACGAAGCCTCCAGCACTAGATGTAGAAAGTCCCCTTCTTTCAATCCATCTTTTGCCTGTGCACATCTTCCCTACCCCCTTCCATATCCCTGGACCCCTATGAAGACAATTTTGATGGTGTCTTCCTTTATTCCAGCAACTTTTGTGGCTAGCCCCATGTGTTCTATCATTGATCAGAACCAAATCAGCCTTTCTTCTTTTGCACCAAGCTCAGACCTCAGAGGACTGCAGTGAATAATCTGGAATCTGGCAACTTTTGCCTTTGTCCTGCAAGGCTTCACTGTGGGTTGCACTGCATTGCTCAGGACCCCCTGAGAGAGCTAGCAACTTGCGGGCCAGCACACTCACGTCTGTGGCCTTCACCTTCTCTGCAGGGCTCATAAGCTAGGTAAAGATTGAATGAATAGAATCAACAAGTGACTGGACAGTTTGAAGAAATTCAGAGTGAAGTTGAAAAAAAAAAAAGAAACCTTGCTTGCTAAAAGACCAGTTGGAAGTCTGGAAGGTTCAGTCTAGAGGTTTTATAAAATTAATCAGCACTGACACACCTAGCATAGAGCCTGGGCCACTGAAACTTCCCGACACACATTAGATATTATTACTTACTAACAGGCTGTGAAGTCTCAGACACAACTCTTCACTCTCCCTCCTCACTAGCCAGACAGATTAGCAGTACTTTTAGTATTATTCTACTTTGCGTGATTGGAGAGACATTACGAGAGAAAATCAGATCATTAAGAGAAAACATAAAAGATTATTAAGATGTGAAAATGCCCTGAAAATGTTAAAAGTGTTGTCAAAATTTAGGGCATTATTATTTTTACTAATTATTATCACTATATAATGACCTTTAGCCCACAGCAGTAGGGTCTGACATGAAGCATTACTAACCAACCAGTCGACTGAATTTGGAAGAGGGCAGCTTGGTGATGGTTCCTTGTCTAGGGCCCTCTTCCCTTTGTCTGGTGAAGCCCATTTCTCAAGGTTGATGGGGTCACAGACCATCCTGCTCAGATCAGCTATCTTCACAAAAACTACACATACTGTAGGTCCTGGGGCCAGGGTCAGGCAGGGTAACTGGCTCAATTCAGGTCACATTGTGGCTTCTTCAACTCTAGATCTGAAAGCAACCCATGCTCACAGAGTTCAAGCTGAGATTTGAGTTACAGAAAAAATTTTTGACTCCACTCTGTTTTCCCATGAAAGTAAGTCATTTAGCAGGCAGTGGTTTTCAAACATTGGTGAGCATCATCAGAATCATCTGGAGGGCTTGTTAAAACAGAGCACTGGGTCCCAACCCCAGAGTTTCTGGTTCAAAAGGTCTGAAGTGGGGCCCTTGAACTGGCATTTCTAACAACTTGCCAGGTGATATTGACACTACTGGTCCCGGAGGATCACACTTTGAGAATCACTGGCCTAGTGCTTAAGAGCACAGGCTCTGGAGTGAAGTTAGCATGCCGAAGTTGAAATCTTACTCAGCTACTTATCAGCCACTTATCTGTCCCTGTGGCCCGGTTACTAGAACCTGTCTGTGTCTATATTTCTGTATCTGTTAAATAAGTTATTATGTAGTTTAAATATGGTAATACTAACTCATAGGATTATTGTGGCCATTATATGAAAAAACACATGCAAAATATTTTTTGCATGATGCTGAGCATATAGTGACTGCTCAAGGTTAGCCACTATTATTATTATTATATACATATTACTATGCTTCTTACCCTGAAACTGTTAGTATCTCAGTTTCCCTCATTAGACTGTGAGCAGCTTCAGAGCAGTGGCACTATTTTTTTTCATTTCTGTATTTCCAGGCACAAGGAAAAAAAATGCACTGTAGAAATTCATTCATTCACTCAGTTATTTATTCATCGAGTACTGAGCATTAGTATCTCAGTTTCCCTCATTAGACTGTGAGCAGCTTCAGAGCAGTGGCACTATTTTTTTCATTTCTGTATTTCCAGGCACAAGGAAAAAAATGCACTGTAGAAATTCATTCATTCAGTCAGTTATTTATTCATCGAGTACTGAGCGCTTAGTCTGTGCCAGGTCCAGATTAGACACTGGGGATACAATGACCAAGAAGAAGCAGACCCTGTTCTTGTGGAGTTTACATTGAGTGGGTGAAAGAAACATTAAATAATGCAACAAGTAAATAAACAAAATAGTTACTAATTATAAACATGCTTTGAAGGAAATAAAAAGTGTTGGATTAGAGGGCAGTTAGGGATTTATTTTAGGTAGAATGTCCAGGGAAGTTCTCTCTGAGGAGGTAACACGTGAGCTGAGACCTGAGACCTGAGTAATGAGACAGAGCCAACCATGATGAGATCTGAGAGTGCTCCAGGCAGAGGGAACAGCCAATGCAAAGGCCCTGAAGCAGGAAGCAGCTTGGCCTCTTTCAGGAACTGAAGGAAAGCCTGGAAAGCTGAAATCTAGTTCCACGAGAGGGGGACAAGAAGTAAGGTTGGAGAGGGTTCATGGAGGGCCTTGTAGGCCAAGGTAGGAAGCAGGGGAATGACATGTTCAGCTCAACACATTTAAAATGACACATTAGCCTCTGGGGGTGTGCAAGTAGAAAAGTTAAGAGGCTAATGCAGTGACACGGGAAACAGACAATGGTGGTGTGGAATATGAGGTTGCAGTGGAGATTCAAAAAAATGTGTTTGGATTCAAAATATATATTTTAGCTAGCACTGACAGACTTGATGATGAACTAGATGAGGGGGTTGGGAAAGAGAAACAGAGGACTATTCTGTGGAATGCGTCTCCAGCTGTGATCTCTTTATAATAAGCCACCACTGCTACTTAGTTTCCGTCTGCTCACATCTCATCTCTATTTCCCTTACCCAGTTCGCTCTCTCCCTTTCTTAGGGCCCAGGGCTTTTCCAAGGCTCCTTGAGGGTCCCTGCCCTGATTTCCAAAGCTCTGCTGCCCAGCACTGGTGGTTACTATCCCAGAAGCTCAGATGACCTGTTCCCCATGAAAAGGAAGAAAGCAAGCCCTCAGCAAGGTGGGAGTGAGTGGAGGGGGATTAGAACAGCGGCCAGTCAGCAGGCAGTGGATGAAAAAATAAAGCCACACGGGCACTCCAGGGATCTGGGATGCTGGCAGGAAATGGAAAACAAATTCAGTTGACTATTAAGAGAGAGAGAATGCTGTCTTTCTGGTTTAGTCCTCCTGGTACTGGAGGACATGACCATGACAAAAGTGGGGAACATCTTCCAGGCCTATGTGGTTTCCTGGGTTACTGAGGACAATGTATTCTTTGATTGATGTTACAAATAAGAGAATCTGACCCCAGAGCCTGCTTCCTTCCCACCCCATGCATCTCTCATACCCAGTCTCTCTTCATTTAGCACCAATCCTAGGATCCAGCCACTAAGGCCAAGCTGAGAGGTTTTTTAAATTAATTTTTCCCCCATAATATGGTCCTGAATGCTGCATCAGTAGAATATTCTTCTTCAGACACAGATCAAGCTCGGTTTTTGTGTTTGATTTTTGCTTTTCCGTTTTTTCTTTCCTTCCCCTCAGTTGGC